TTAGCATTGAAATAGCCAAGGGATTAGCTTGTGCAAATAGCTGAGGGATTAGCTTGTGACTGATCACGGAAATAGATGTTAAAGTAAAGGCCTACACATCCACAGAGCTTCAATGAACGATGTTAAGATTCGTAGCGACTTTTTAAAGTGAGGCACCTTGACAAAGGGGTTTACATATCAAATAGCTGAGGGATTAGCTTGTGACTGGTCACGGAAATAGATGTTAAAGTAAAGGCCTACACATCCACAGAGCTTCAATGAACGATGTTAAGATTCGTAGCGACTTTTAAGCTGGTTGGGAGAAGTCGCCACGAATCTTAACATCGTTCATTGAAGCTCTGTCGTCCCGACAGAAGGCCGCTTGCGTTGTGGCCGAAACGTCGTGAGAATTTTATTATTTTATTATTTTATTCTCATTCTACGTGGTGACCTTACCGAAAGAACCAAAGAAGATTTCTATTTAAAGCTTTCGTGACAGCAAGGATTCATCTTCTTTGGTGCTTTCGGTAAAGTCACCACGTAGAATGAGAATAATAAATTAATAAAACAACACGATAACATTCCCACGACGTTTCGGCCACAACGCAAGCGGCCTTCTTCAGGTGAAAGGTACGGACCCGTCGGGACGACAGAGCTTCAGTGAACGATGTTAAGATTCGTAGCGACTTCTCCCAACCAGCTTAAAAGTCGCTACGAATCTTAACATCGTTCATTGAAGCTCTGTGGATGTGTAGGCCTTTACTTTAACATCTATTTCTGTGACCAGTCACAAGCTAATCCCTTAGCTATTTCAATGCTAAATTACTAGTTGCCTCTGTAGATGTGTAGGCCTTTACTTTAACATAGCCATTCCTGTGACCAGTCACAAGCTAATCCCTCAGCTATTTCCACAAGCTAATCCCTTAGCTATTTCAATGCTAAATTACTAGTTGCCTCTGTGGATGTGTAGGTTTTGACTTTAACGTAGCCATTCCCGTGACCAGTCACAAGCTAATCCCTCAGCTATTTAATATGTAAACCCCCTTTGTCAAGGTGCCTCACTTCTCCCCAACCAGCTTAAAAAGTCGCTACGAATCTTAACATCGTTTATTGAAGCTCTGTCGTCCCGACGGGTCCGTACCTTCAACCTGAAGAAGGCCGCTTGCGTTGTGGCCGAAACGCCGTGAGAATTTGATCGCGTTGTTTTATTGATTTTTTTATTCTCATTCTACGTGGGTGGTGACATTTAACCGAAAGAACCGAAGAAGATATCGTTATTGTTTGTTCAAGCCACGTGGATTTACCGGCGGAGCCCGCGGAAGATGCGTGCCCGCCGTGGTGAAAGGGTCCAGGGCGAGACTCACTTGAAGTGGTCTTGCAGAGCGACGCTGAAGTCGAAGGCGTCGCCGCGGTCAGCGAAGCCGATCCCAATGAAGGCACTGCGGCCTGCTGAAGTACACACACATACATACACACATACACATATACATACATACACATATACATACATATATACACATACATACATATATACATACACATATATACATACATATATACACACGCACACACATACGTATACACATACATATATATACATACATATTTACGTACATATACACACGCACACACATACATATACATACACATATATACATACATATACACATGCACACACATACATATACATACATATATACATACATATATACACATACATATATACATACACATATATATACATACATATATACATACATATACACACGCACACACATACATATATACACAGTGTACACACACACATATATATATACACATACACACACAGTGTACACACACGCACACACATACATATATACACAAAGACAAATATCCCCCGTATAGTCTTAACAGACTGTAGGGGCAAGTGCTGTTAGCGAGCACCTATGAAGGCCGGAACGGCACACGAGGGGGTGGGTGGCCAGCACCACGCCCGACCGCCTTTGTCTCCCTAGTGGCAATGTTTACACACCGCACCAGGTACTCATTTGAGGCTGAGTCGACCTAGGGGAGGCCCGGGACCGGTTCAGATAATCGTCACTGGTGTTGGCCGTGAGCGGGAATCGAACCCGGGTCGCCAGGTTCATAGCACAGCGTAGCGCTAACCGCTACACCACCGCTCCCCACTATATATACACACACACATACACACACACACATACATATATACACACAGTGTACACACACACATATATACATACACCCACAGTGTACACACGCACACACACAGTCACATACACACACAGTGTACACACGCACACACAGAGTCACATACACACACATATATATACACATATATACATACACACATACATACATACACATATATACATACACACATATATACATATATATAACAACAACAACCGCCATTCGCCACTAAGTGGCGGTGACGTCACCACGACGCTTGTGCCAGGCTATGTGCACCCTGAGGCCACGGGAAGTGTCGAACGCCCGCTGGCAGGAGGTCACGGGGCAGACCCAGGTGCCACGGGTCGACTGACTGAGATGACTGAGATAACTGGCTGATGCACCACCTGTGCCCCCTACTGTGCCAACCTGCTGTGCTTTAGCCACCCGGCGCTCCGCTCGTTGTTCTGAGCGTCGCTCCTCCGCCCTCCGTTGTTGTTGGAGGGCGACTGCCTCCAACTGCCCAATAGCGTCCTTCACGAGCCTCCTCCACAGAGGCCGATCTTGACACCGCTGGTACCAGTCATCGGCAAGTCCACTCAGCTCCACGTCCTCCTGTACCACATCACTCCATCTCTTCTCTAGCCTATGCCGTGCCCGTTTAGCCCCCTCGATCCGGCCGAACAAAAGCTGTTTCGGCATGTGGTGGCTGGGCATGCGGGCTACATGACCCAGCCATCGCAGCCTTGCCTGCCAGAGGAGCTCACCGATGGGACCCTGCCCAGATCTTTCAAGGATTTGTGAGCTCCTCACACAATCCAGTCTGGTTAAACCCAGGATGGATCGTAGGCAGGCCAGCCTAAATGTTTCCAACCGGCGAAGATGTTCCATTAGGGGGGTCCACGTTTCGCAAGCGTAGAGAAGGGAGGGAATGACCGTGGCCGAGAAGACCTGAAGCTTAGTGCGGAGCGACAGACCAGGTAGCTTCCACACAGCGTTACGCAACCGATGAAAAGATATTGCCGCTCGACTGATTCGGAGTGAGACCTCTGCTATTAAACTGGAGCCGGTCATAAGCACAGTGCCCAGGTATGGGAAACTCTCGACTCTCTCCACAACTACCCCATCACCGATTGGGAGTTGTGGGGGTGGAGTGTCCGATGGTACAAAATACCCAGGCAGGTGCTTAGTTTTGGTGGGGCTGATGGTAAGGCCCCACCTCTTAGTGGCACGCTCCAGTCTCAGCAGCAGCATCTCCAACTCCTCCTCTGAATGAGCAGCTATTACCAAATCATCGGCATACATAACGTGGTTGAGCAATAGGGAGCCATCCCTTGACCGCACCCGGGCATCGATCAGCCTCCCATTATATCTGTTCCATATGGAGATTCCCCCGGTACAGCTATTGAAGGCTTCACGAACTACGTGGTCAAAATAGATGTTAAATAATGTGGGAGCCAGAGGACATCCCTGTCGCACCCCAAGGTGTACAGGGAATGGCTCTGACTCCCGGCCACGTAGTTTTACCCGGGCCCGCTCACCATCATGAAGGTCCTTAATGATCGTGAGCAGAGGGTCAGGTACTCCAAAAGCACGAAGAACAACCCAGAGCCCAGGCCTAATGATGGTATCATAGGCCTTGACCAGGTCAATAAAGCAGAGATGTAGGTCTTGCTGGAATTCCCTACACATCTGCTGTAGCAGACGGACAGAAAATATGGCATCTCTGCAGGACCGCCCTTTCCTGAAACCGCATTGGGGCTCCGCAAGCCTCTCCTCAGCGTGCCTGGCAAGGCGATGTTGAATAATCCTTGCCAGGACCTTTCCCGGCACACTGAGGAGTGAGATGCCCCTGTAGTTGTTACAGTCTGTGCGGTCCCCCTTCTTAAAGAGGGGGACCACCAGGGCATCCTTCCAATCCTGCGGAACCCGTCCAGTTAGCCCAGACTGTTGTTATGATGTCATATAGGGCAGTCTGTGCACAAACGCCACCCTCCCTCAGCATTTCGCTTGGGAGATCATCTCTGCCCGATGCCTTTCCTGGTCTCAGACTCCGGATCGCCTTCAGTACTTCCTCAACAGATGGCACCTCAGCCAGCCACTCACAGGGGGTGACTTCTTCCAATATTTGAGGCACCGCAGCCTCAGCAGGGTCACACACACACGCACACACATATATACACACGCACACACACATATACACACGTGTATCATGGCTGCCATTGTTACCACGGTTACCGTGGTTACCGCGAGAGAGCGCCCGTCATCGCCTCACCTCCCCCATCCTGAATCCTGAGCACGAAGTAGCGGCTGGAGTCCTTCACGCTCTCCACGGTGAGACCAGGGTAGGCGTCCACAGGAGCCTGGGCAAACAACTCTCCTGTAGCACACACACACACACAGTCACACACACACAGACACACACACACACACAGACACACACAAACACAGACACACACAAACACAGACACACACAAACACAGACACACACAAACACAGACACACACACACACACACAGACGCTCTCCACGGTGAGACCAGGTTAGGCGTCTACAGGAGCCTGGGCAAACAACTCTCCTGTAGCACAACAACAACAACAACAACCGCCATTCGCCACTAAGTGGCGGTGACGTCACCATGACGCTTGTGCCAGGCCATGTGCACCCTGAGGCCACGTGAAGTGTCGAACGCCCGCTGGCAGGAGGTCACGGGGCAGACCCAGCAGGTGCCACGGGTCGACTGACTGAGATGACTGGCTGGTGCACCACCTGTGCCCCCTACTGTGCCAACCTGCTGTGCTTTAGCCACCCGGCGCTCCGCTCGTTGTTGTGAGCGTCGCTCCTCCGCCCTCCGTTGTTGTTGGAGGGCGACTGCCTCCAACTGCCCAGTAGCGTCCTTCACGAGCCTCCTCCACAGAGGACGATCTTGACACCGCTGGTACCAGTCATCGGCAAGTCCACTCAGCTCCACGTCCTCCTGTACCACATCACTCCATCTCTTCTCTAGCCCGTGCCGCGCCCGTTTAGCCCCCTCGATCCGGCCGAACAAAAGCTGTTTCGGCATGCGGTGGCTGGGCATGCGGGCTACGTGACCCAGCCAACACAGCTTTGCCTGCAGGAGGAGCTCACCGATGAGACCTTGCCCAGATCTTTCAAGGATTTGTGAGCTCCTCACACAATCCAGCCTGGTTAAACCCAGGATGGATCGTGGGCAGGCTAGCCTAAATGTTTCTAACTGGTGAAGATGTTCCATTAGGGGGGTCCACGTTTCGCAAGCATAGAGAAGGGAGGGAATGACCGTGGCCGAGAAGACCTGAAGCTTAGTGCGGAGCGACAGACCAGGTAGCTTCCACAGAGCGTTACGCAACCGATGAAAAGATATTGCCGCTCGACTGATTCGGAGTGAGACCTCTGCTGTTAAACTGGAGCTGGTCATAAGCACACTGCCCAGGTATGGGAAACTCCCCACTCTCTCCACAACTACCCCATCACCGATTGGGAGTTGTGGGGGTGGAGTGTCCGATGGTACAAAATACCCAGGTAGGTGCTTAGTTTTGGTGGGGCTGATGGTAAGGCCCCATCTCTTAGTGGCACGCTCCAGTCTCAGCAGCAGCATCTACAACTCCTCCTCTGAATGAGCAGCTATGACCAAATCATCGGCATACATAACGTGGTTGAGCAATAGGGAGCCATCCCTTGACCGCACCCGGGCATCGATCAGCCTCCCATTATATCTGTACCATATGGAGATTCCCCCGGTACAGCTATTGAAGGCTTCACGAACTACGTGGTCAAAATAGATGTTCAATAATGTGGGATCCAGAGGACATCCCTGTCGCACCCCAAGGTGTACAGGGAATGGCTCTGACTCCCGGCCAAGTAGTTTTACCCGGGCCCGCTAACCAGACAGAAAATATGGCATCTGTGCAGGACCGCCCTTTCCTGAAACCGCATTGGGGCTCCGCAAGACTCTCCTCAGCGTGCCTGGCAAGGCGATGTTGAATAATCCTTGCCAGGACCTTTCCCAGCACACTGAGGAGTGAGATGCCCCTGTAGTTGTTATAGTCTGTGCGGTCCCCCTCCTTAAAGAGGGGGACCAAAAGGGCATCCTTCCAATCCTGCGGAACCCGTCCAGTGGTCCAGACTGTTGTTACGATATCATGTAGGGCAGTCTGTGCACAAACGCCACCCTCCCTCAGCATTTCGCTTGGGAGATCATCTCTGCCTGCTGCCTTTCCTGGTCTCAGACTCCGGATCGCCTTCAGTACTTCCTCAACAGATGGCACCTCAGCCAGCCACTCACAGAGGGTGACTTCCTCCTCCAATATTTGAGGCACCGCAGCCTCAGCAGGGTCATCCCCACTTTGTCCCACGATGTTTTCCTGGCTGAGGGGTTTCCCCTCCCCCAGGACCTCACAGAAATGCTCAGCAAATCTGCAAACCTGTTCCTGGGGGTTGGAGATTGGATCACCGTTCTTTCCCCTAATGACGGTTAATAGGTGTGGCACTGCAGGTTACTTTTGTGATGGAGTTAAATAGAGATTTGTGATCGCGGGCCACTGAGGCAGACTCCATCTCCTCACCAACCCGCGACCACCACCCATCCTTGCAGCGCCTCACGGCTCTCCGAACCTCCGAGCGAAGGCTGCGGTAAGCCTCCTCATTCTCTGACGTGGGATTCTGTAGCCGATGACAGTGGGTCTGTCGCTTTTTCTCAACCATCCTGAACACCTCCTCTGTGAGCCAGGGTCTCTGGGGAGGTCTGGAAAACGTACCCAAAGCAGCCATTGCAGCTGCATGAGTCACAGTCCTAAACCTCGCCCATTTAACCTCGACATCAGGAGGAGTGGGGGACGATGCCAACCCCAGCCGCAAGCGATGATGAAATTCTCGCTTGCAACTTCCATCAGCTAGCTGAGACCAGGCCACTTTGGGTTGGAATGGGGTCCTGGGTATACACCCACCACCGGAGTGGAAGAATGGCAGGCGCATCTTACAGATAACAAGTCAATGATCAGAGGGCAGATCAGCTCCACGGTCGGTCCTGGTGTCAAGGACATGGGCTCGCATCCGCTGGTCCGTCACTATGTAGTCCAGCAGATGTTCTTGCTTGGACCCGGCATGCATCCATGATGTTGTGTGGATGCGCCGATGCCGGAACAGCGTGTTGGTAATTACAAGCCCATGGGCTGCACAAAAATCCAGCAGCCTCCTACCGTTGTTATTGAGCTGATCTGGCCCATGCCCTCCAATCACTCCAGACCAGGTGCCAGCATCATGACCAACTCGGGCATTGAAGTCACCCAACAAGATGACTCTATCCCGAGGGGCCACTTTAGCCAGCACCTGTGACAGGAGGTCATAGAAGGCATCTGACTCATCGGCTTTGCCTGCATCCCTCCACGGATGTTCGTCTTCAGTGGGGGCATAAGTAACCACGACCACCGCTCCTCGCCTCCGGTTGATGGGAAGGCAGGCCCAAAGTAGCCTGGGGCTTACAGCTTCCCACACCTCGCCACCACGCTCCCACGCCCCCTTCATTCTTTTGTTCAAAAACAGAGCCACACCCTGTTGTTTGTGTATGAGTGTGTATGAGTGTGTGTATGAGTGTGTGTATGAGTGTGTGTATGAGTGTGTGTATGAGTGTGTGTATGAGTGTAAGTGTATGTATGGGTGTGTGTATGAGTGTGAGTGAGTGTGTATATGAGTGTGTGTATGAATGCGTGTGTGTGTAAGTGTGTAAGAGTGTGTGAGTGTGTGTAAGTGAATGTAAGTGTGTAAGTGAGTGTGTGTAAGTGAGTGTGTGTGTGGTGAGTGTGTGTGTGTATGAGTGCGAGTGTGTGTAAGTGAATGTAAGTGTGTAAGTGCAAGTGTGTAAGAGTGTGTAAGTGTGTAAGTGTGAGTGTAAGTGTGAGTGTGTGTAAGTGTGTAAGTGTGTAAGTGTGAGTGTGTAAGTGTGTGTAAGTGTGTGTGTGTGTGTATGAGTGTGTGTGTATGAGTGTGTGTATGAGTGTGTGAGTGTGTGTGGTGAGTGTGTATGAGTGTGTATGTGTGTAAGTGCAAGTGTGTAAGAGTGTGTAAGTGTGTAAGTGTGAGTGTGTAAGTGTGAGTGTGTGTAAGTGTGAGTGTGTAAGTGTGTAAGTGTGAGTGTGTAAGTGTGTGTAAGTGTGTGTGTGTATGAGTGTGTGTGTATGAGTGTGTGTATGAGTGTGTGTGTATGAGTGTGTGAGTGTGTGTGGTGAGTGTGTATGAGTGTGTGTGTGTGTATGAGTGTGTGAGTGTGTGTGGTGAGTGTGTATGAGTGTGTGTGTGTATGAGTGTGTGAGTGTGTGTGGTGAGTGTGTATGAGTGTGTGTGTGTGTATGAGTGTGTGAGTGTGTGTGGTGAGTGTGTATGAGTGTGTATGTGTGTAAGTGCAAGTGTGTAAGAGTGTGTAAGTAAGTGTAAGTGTGAGTGTAAGTGAGTGTGTAAGTGTGTAAGTGAGCGTGTAAGTGAGTGTGTAAGCAAGTGTAAGTGTGTAAGTAAGTGTAAGTGAGTGTGTAAGTAAGTGTAAGTGTGTGTAAGTGTAAGTGTGTAAGAGTGTGTAAGTGTGTGTGACGCACCAGACGATTTGTCCTCCAGTTTGACGAACGCGGCTTTGCCCTTGGCTGTGATCCTCATGCGCCCCGTCCAGTCTGGCTGCTCCAGCTTCCAGTCCGCAGCCCTGCACAGTCACGCACTGCTGATGATCACGACCATGACGATGATGATGATGACGATGACACAGCATGGCCACGCACTGCTGATGATCACGACGATGACGACGATGATGACGAAGACGACGATGATGATGACGATGACGACAACGATGATGATGATGACGATGACACAGCATGGCCACGCACTGCTGATGATCACCACGATGACGACGATGATGATGATGACGATGACGATGATGACGATGATGATGACGATGACACAGCATGGCCACGAACTGCTGATGATCACGACGATGATGATGATGACGATGACGATGATGACGATGACGATGACACAGCATGGCCATGCACTGCTGATGATGACGACGATGACGATGATGACGACGATGATGATGATGAGACAGTGCGTACACACTGCTGCTGATGATGATGATGACGAAGACAGCATGGCCACACACTGCTGATGATGATGATGATGAGACAGTGCGTACACACTGCTGCTGATGATGATGATGAGACAGTGCATACACACTGCTGCTGATGATGATGATGAGACAGTGCGTACACACTGCTGCTGATGATGATGATGAGACAGTGCGTACACACTGCTGCTGATGATGATGAGACAGTGCGTACACACTGCTGCTGATGATGATGATGAGACAGTGCGTACACACTGCTGCTGATGATGATGAGACAGTGTGTACACACTGCTGCTGATGATGATGACGATGAGACAGTGTGTACACACTGCTGATGATGATGAGACAGTGTGTACACACTGCTGCTGATGATGATGAGACAGTGCGTACACACTGCTGATGATGATGAAACAGTGTGTACACACTGCTGCTGATGATGATGATGATGAGACAGTGTGTACACACTGCTGCTGATGATGATGATGAGACAGTGTGTACACACTGCTGATGATGATGATGAGACAGTGTGTACACACTGCTGCTGATGATGATGATGACGAGACAGCATGGCCACACACTGCTGATGATGATGATGAGACTGTGTACACACTGCTGATGATGATGATGAGACAGTGTGTACACACTGCTGCTGATGATGATGATGACGAGACAGCATGGCCACACACTGCTGATGATGATGAGACTGTGTACACACTGCTGATGATGATGATGAGACAGTGCGTACACACTGCTGCTGATGATGATGATGACGAGACAGCATGGCCACACACTGCTGCTGATGATGATGAGACTGTGTACACACTGCTGATGATGATGATGAGACAGTGTGTACACACTGCTGCTGATGATGATGATGACGAGACAGCATGGCCACACACTGCTGATGATGATGATGATGAGACTGTGTACACACTGCTGATGATGATGATGAGACAGTGTGTACACACTGCTGCTGATGATGATGATGACGAGACAGCATGGCCACACACTGCTGATGATGATGATGAGACTGTGTACACACTGCTGCTGATGATGATGATGAGACAGTGCGTACACACTGCTGCTGATGATGATGATGACGAGACAGCATGGCCACACACTGCTGATGATGATGATGAGACTGTGTACACACTGCTGATGATGATGATGAGACAGTGCGTACACACTGCTGATGATGATGATGAGACAGTGTGTACACACTGCTGCTGATGATGATGAGACAGTGTGTACACACTGCTGCTGATGATGATGAGACAGTGTGTACACACTGCTGATGATGATGATGATGAGACAGTGTGTACACACTGCTGCTGATGATGATGAGACTGTGTACACACTGCTGATGATGATGATGAGACAGTGCGTACACACTGCTGCTGATGATGATGAGACAGTGTGTACACACTGCTGCTGATGATGATGAGACAGTGTGTACACACTGCTGATGATGATGATGAGACAGTGTGTACACACTGCTGCTGATGATGATGATGACGAGACAGCATGGCCACACACTGCTGATGATGATGATGAGACTGTGTACACACTGCTGATGATGATGATGAGACAGTGTGTACACACTGCTGCTGATGATGATGACGAGACAGCATGGCCACACACTGCTGCTGATGATGATGAGACTGTGTACACACTGCTGATGATGATGATGAGACAGTGCGTACACACTGCTGCTGATGATGATGATGACGAGACAGCATGGCCACACACTGCTGATGATGATGATGAGACTGTGTACACACTGCTGATGATGATGATGAGACAGTGTGTACACACTGCTGCTGATGATGATGATGACGAGACAGCATGGCCACACACTGCTGATGATGATGATGAGACTGTGTACACACTGCTGATGATGATGATGAGACAGTGCGTACACACTGCTGATGATGATGATGAGACAGTGTGTACACACTGCTGCTGATGATGATGAGACAGTGCGTACACACTGCTGCTGATGATGATGAGACAGTGCGTACACACTGCTGCTGATGATGATGATGACGAGACAGCATGGCCACACACTGCTGATGATGATGATGAGACTGTGTACACACTGCTGATGATGATGATGATGAGACAGTGCGTACACACTGCTGATGATGATGATGAGACAGTGTGTACACACTGCTGCTGATGATGATGAGACAGTGCGTACACACTGCTGCTGATGATGATGATGAGACAGTGCGTACACACTGCTGCTGATGATGATGATGACGAGACAGCATGGCCACACACTGCTGATGATGATGATGAGACTGTGTACACACTGCTGATGATGATGATGAGACAGTGCGTACACACTGCTGATGATGATGATGAGACAGTGTGTACACACTGCTGATGATGAGACAGTGCGTACACACTGCTGATGATGATGATGAGACTGTGTACACACTGCTGATGATGATGATGAGACAGTGCGTACACACTGCTGATGATGAGACTGTGTACACACTGCTGATGATGATGATGAGACAGTGCGTACACACTGCTGATGATGATGATGAGACAGTGTGTACACACTGCTGCTGATGATGATGAGACAGTGCGTACACACTGCTGATGATGATGATGAGACTGTGTACACACTGCTGATGATGATGATGAGACAGTGCGTACACACTGCTGATGATGATGATGAGACTGTGTACACACTGCTGATGATGATGATGAGACAGTGCGTACACACTGCTGATGATGATGATGATGAGACTGTGTACACACTGCTGATGATGATGATGAGACAGTGCGTACACACTGCTGATGATGATGATGAGACTGTGTACACACTGCTGATGATGATGATGAGACAGTGCGTACACACTGCTGATGATGATGATGAGACTGTGTACACACTGCTGATGATGATGATGAGACAGTGCGTACACACTGCTGATGATGATGATGAGACTGTGTACACACTGCTGATGATGATGATGATGAGACAGTGCGTACACACTGCTGATGATGATGATGAGACTGTGTACACACTGCTGCTGATGATGATGAGACAGTGCGTACACACTGCTGATGATGATGATGAGACTGTGTACACACTGCTGATGATGATGATGAGACAGTGCGTACACACTGCTGATGATGATGATGAGACTGTGTACACACTGCTGATGATGATGATGAGACAGTGCGTACACACTGCTGATGATGATGATGATGAGACTGTGTACACACTGCTGATGATGATGATGATGAGACAGTGCGTACACACTGCTGATGATGATGATGAGACTGTGTACACACTGCTGATGATGATGATGAGACAGTGCGTACACACTGCTGATGATGATGATGATGAGACTGTGTACACACTGCTGATGATGATGATGATGAGACAGTGCGTACACACTGCTGATGATGATGATGAGACTGTGTACACACTGCTGATGATGATGATGATGAGACAGTGCGTACACACTGCTGATGATGATGATGAGACAGTGCGTACACACTGCTGCTGATGATGATGATGAGACAGCATGGCCACACACTGCTGCTGATGATGATGAGACTGTGTACACACTGCTGATGATGATGATGAGACAGTGCGTACACACTGCTGATGATGATGATGAGACAGTGCGTACACAGGAGGGGTGGGGGTGGCCACCACCACCACCACGCCCGGCCGCCTTTGTCTCTCCCTAGTGGCAAGCGATGTTGACTACACCACCACACACAACGCTAGTGCCAGGCTAGGTTCACTTAGTAACCACCACCACACACAACGCTTGTGCCAGGCTAGGTGCACTTAGTAACCACCACCACACACAACGCTAGTGCCAGGCTAGGTTCACTTAGTAACCACCACCACCACACACAACGCTTGTGCCAGGCTAGGTTCACTTAGTAACCACCACGACCACACACAACGCTAGTGCCAGGCTAGGTTCACTTAGTAACCACCACCACCACCACACACAACGCTAGTGCCAGGCTAGGTGCACTTAAGCAATACTCGACGGTTCGGGCAATGACCCTTCGTAAGAGCCGCAGTGCGCACGACTTTCGCGGAGGCGAAGACGCCCCCAGGGCAGATCGCAACGTTATCAAATGACGTGGAACAACGCCGGGATCTGCCCTCAGGGCGTTAGTGACTCTCAAAAGTTGCGAGTGGTGAGTGTGGTGGTGAGTGTGGTGGTGGTGGTGAGTGTGGTGGTGGTGGTGAGTGTGGTGGTGGTGGTGAGTGTGGTGGTGGTGGTGAGTGTGGTGGTGGTGGTGAGTGTGGTGGTGGTGAGTGTGGTGGTGGTGGTGAGTGTGTTGGTGGTGGTGGTGAGTGTGGTGGTGAGTGCGGTGGTGAGTGTGTTGGTGAGTGTGGTGGTGGTGGTGAGTGTGGTGGTGAGTGTGGTGGTGAGTGTGGTGGTGGTGAGTGTTGTGGTGGTGGTGAGTGTGGTGGTGGTGAGTGTGGTGGTGGTGAGTGTGGTTGTGGTGAGTGTGGTGGTGGTGAGTGTGGTGGTGAGTGTGGTGGTGAGTGTGGTGGTGGTGGTGAGTGTGGTGGTGGTGGTGGTGGTGGTGAGTGTGGTGGTGAGTGTGGTGGTGGTGAGTGTGGTGGTGAGTGTGGTGGTGAGTGTGGTGGTGGTGAGTGTTGTGGTGATGGTGGTGGTGGTGAGTGTGGTGGTGAGTGTGGTGGTGAGTGTGGTGGTAGTGAGTGTGGTGGTGGTGAGTGTGGTGGTGAGTGTGGTGGTGGTGAGTGTTGTGGTGATGGTGGTGAGTGTGGTGGTGGTGGTGAGTGTGGTGGTGGTGAGTGTGGTGGTGGTGAGTGTGGTGGTGGTGAGTGTGGTGGTGGTGAGTGTGGTTGTGGTGAGTGTGGTGGTGGTGAGTGTTGTGGTGATGGTGGTGAGTGTGGTGGTGGTGGTGGTGAGTGTGGTGGTGGTGGTGAGTGTGGTGGTGGTGGTGAGTGTGGTGGTGGTGAGTGTGGTGGTGGTGAGTGTGGTGGTGAGTGTGGTGGTGGTGAGTGTGGTGGTGGTGAGTGTGGTGGTGAGTGTGGTGGTGGTGAGTGTGGTGGTGGTGAGTGTGGTGGTGAGTGTGGTGGTGGTGGTGAGTGTGGTGGTGGTGAGTGTGGTGGTGGTGAGTGTGGTGGTGGTGAGTGTGGTGGTGAGTGTGGTGGTGGTGGTGAGTGTGGTGGTGGTGAGTGTGGTGGTGGTGAGTGTGGTGGTGGTGGTGAGTGTGGTGGTGGTGGTGAGTGGTGGTAGTGGTGAGTGAGTGAGTGAGTGGTGAGTGTGGTAGTGAGTGCTAGTGGTGGTGAGTGAGTGAGTGGTGAGTGAGAGTGAGTGGTGAGTGAGTGTTAGTGGTGGTGAGTGAGTGGTGGTGGTGAGTGGTGGTAGTGAGTGTTAGTGGTGGTGAGTGAGTGGTGGTAGTGAGTGTGGTAGTGAGTGAGTGGTGAGTGAATGAGTGGTGAGTGGTAGTGGTGAGTAAGTGGTGAGTGAGTGGTGAGTGTGGGGGTGAGTGTGGTGGTGGTGAGTGTGGTGGTGGTGAGTGTGGTGGTGGTGAGTGTGGTGCTGAGTGTTGTGGTGATGGTGAGTGTGGTGGTGGTGAGTGTGGTGGTGAGTGTGGTGGTGGTGAGTGTGATGGTGGTGCTGAGTGTGGTAGTGGTGAGTGTGGTGGTGGTGGTGAGTGTGGTGGTGAGTGTGGTGGTGGTGAGTGTGGTGGTGAGTGTGGTGGTGGTGGTGGTGAGTGCGGTGGTGAGTGCGGTGGTGAGTGTGTTGGTGGTGGTGAGTGTGGTGGTGGTGAGTGTGGTGGTGGTGAGTGTGGTGGTGGTGAGTGTGGTGGTGGTGAGTGTTGTGGTGAGTGTGGTGATGAGTGTGGTGGTGGTGAGTGTGGTGGTGAGTGTGGTGGTGGTGGTGAGTGTGGTGGTGGTGAGTGTGGTGATGGTGAGTGTTGTGGTGATGAGTGTGGTGGTGGTGAGTGTGGTGGTGGTGGTGAGTGTGGTGGTGGTGAGTGTGGTGGTGGTGGTGAGTGTGGTGGTGGTGGTGAGTGTTGTGGTGGTGGTGAGTGTGGTGGTGAGTGCGGTGGTGAGTGTGTTGGTGGTGGTGAGTGTGGTGGTGGTGGTGAGTGTGGTGGTGAGTGTGGTAGTGGTGAGTGTGGTGGTGGTGAGTGTTGTGGTGGTGAGTGTTGTGGTGGTGAGTGTGGTGGTGGTGAGTGTGGTGGTGAGTGTGGTGATGAGTGTGGTGGTGGTGAGTGTGGTGGTGAGTGTGGTGGTGGTGAGTGCGGTGGTGGTGAGTGTGGTGGTGAGTGTGGTGGTGGTGGTGAGTGTTGTGGTGATGGTGAGTGTGGTAGTGGTGAGTGTGGTGGTGGTGAGTGTGGTTGTGGTGAGTGTGGTGGTGGTCGTGGTGGTGGTGAGTGTGGTGAGTGTGGTGGTGGTGAGTGTGGTGGTGGTGAGTGTTGTGGTGGTGGTGAGTGTGGTGGTGGTGAGTGTGGTGGTGAGTGTGGTGGTGAGTGCGGTGGTGAGTGCGGTGGTGAGTGTGTTGGTGGTGGTGAGTGTGGTGGTGGTGGTGGTGAGTGTGGTGGTGAGTGTGGTGGTGGTGAGTGTGGTGGTGAGTGTGGTGGTGAGTGTGGTGGTGGTGAGTGTGGTGGTGGTGGTGAGTGTGGTGGTGGTGGTGAGTGTGGTGGTGAGTGTGGTGGTGGTGAGTGTGGTGGTGAGTGTTGCGGTGGTGGTGAGTGTGGTGGTGGTGAGTGTGGTGGTGAGTGCGGTGGTGAGTGTGTTGGTGGTGGTGAGTGTGGTGGTGGTGAGTGTGGTGGTGAGTGTGGTGGTGGTGGTGGTGAGTGTTGTGGTGGTGAGTGTGGTGGTGGTGAGTGTGGTGGTGAGTGCGGTGGTGGTGTGGTGGTGAGTGTGGTGGTGGTGAGTGTGGTGGTGGTGAGTGTGGTGGTGAGTGTGGTGGTGAGTGTGGTGGTGAGTGTGGTGGTGGTGAGTGTGGTTGTGGTGAGTGTGGTAGTGGTGGTGGTGGTGGTGAGTGTTGTGGTGATGGTGAGTGTGGTAGTGGTGAGTGTGGTGGTGGTCGTGGTGGTGGTGAGTGTGGTGGTGAGTGTGGTGGTGAGTGTGGTGGTGGTGGTGAGTGTGGTGGTAGTGAGTGTGGTGGTAGTGAGTGTGGTGGTGGTGGTGAGTGCGGTGGTGGTGAGTGTGGTGGTGAGTGTGGTGGTGGTGAGTTTCGTGGTGAGTGTGGTGGTGAGTGTGGTGGTGGTGAGTGTGGTGGTGGTGAGTGTGGTGGTGAGTGTGGTGGTGGTGAGTGTGGTGGTGAGTGTGGTGGTGAGTGTGGTGGTGGTGAGTGTGGTGGTGAGTGTGGTGGTGGTGAGTGTTGTGGTGATGGTGGTGGTGAGTGTGGTGGTGGTGGTGGTAAGTGTGGTGGTGAGTGTGGTGGTGGTGGTGAGTGTGGTGGTGGTGAGTGTGGTGGTGGTGGTGTGTGTGGTGGTGGTGAGTGTGGTGGTGGGTGTGGTGGTGGTGGTGAGTGTGGTGGTGGTGAGTGTGGTGGTGAGTGTGGTGGTGGTGGTGGTGAGTGGTGGTAGTGAGTGTTAGTGGTGAGTGAGTGATGAGTGAGTGTTAGTGGTGAGTGAGTGGTTGGTGAGTGAGTGAGTGGTGAGTGAGTGTTAGTGGTGGTGAGTGTTAGTGGTGGTGAGTGAGTGTGGTAGTGAGTGAATGGTAGTGGTGAGTGAGTGGTGAGTGAGTGGTGAGTGTTAGTAGTGAGTGGTAGTGGTGAGTAAGTGGTGAATGAGTGGAGTGGTGAGTGTTAGTGGTGAGTGAGTGGTGAGTGAGTGACGTCACCTGTAGCTCCTGTTGGAGGCTCTGGGCGGGATTCTGTAGACGAGGTGAGTGGTGAGTGGTGAGTGTTAGTGGTGAGTGGTGAGTGTTAGTGGTGAGTGTTAGTGGTGAGTGGTGAGTGACGTCACCTGTAGCCCCTGTTGGAGGCTCTGGGAGGGATGCGGTAGACGTGGTGAGTGGTGAGTGTTAGTAGTGGTGAGTGGTAGTGGTGAGTGAGTGTTAGTGGTGAGTGTTAGTGGTGAGTGAGTGACGTCACCTGTAGCCCCTGTTGGAGGCTCTGGGCGGGATTCTGTAGACGAGGACCTCCGCCTTGACGCACAGCACCGACTCGTAGGCCTCGTCAGCCATCGCGCAGCGTGACGTCATACACACGGGGGACGAAGAAGGTGACGTCACGCGCGGGAATGGGGACGTGCGAGATGACGTCACGCGCGGGGAGGGGGACGAAGGGGAAGACGTCACGCGCGGGGATGTGGGGGAGAGAAGTTAGGTGACGTCACGCGGTGGACGAAAGGGATCACGTCACGAGAGGATGATGCGGACGAAGGGGATGACGTCAGGCAAGGAGAGGGGTACGAATGGAGTGACGTCACGCGCGAGGGGGGGAGACTTTGGGTGTCGTCACGCGGTGGACGCAGGGGATGACGTCACGCGCGGGGATGCGGACGAAGGGGATGACGTCGGACAAGGGGAGGGGTACGAATGGGATGACGTCACGCGTGAGGGGGAGGGACACGGTTGGATGACGTCACGCGATGAACGAAGAGGATGACGTCACGCGCTGAGATGGGGACGAAGGAGATGACGTCACGCGCGCTAAGGTAGACGAAGGTGATGACGTCCCGAGCGGGGGGAGCGGATGACGTCACGCAGGAATTTGGGGGGTGGTGAAGGCACGCAGGGGGGACGGGAATTGAGTGAGGTCACGCGGGGATCGGTTGACGTCAAAGGGGAAGATTTTTGGGGGGGCTAGTGAAGTCACCCGGGGACGGAAATTGTAATTGAGTGACATTATGTGGACACTGTAGGGAGGATGACGTCACCTCAATGTTTGTGGATGGTGAGTGACGTCACGTGGATATGGAAATTTGGGTGATGTCACGCGCGATTGGGGGCCTGACGTCACGCGGATTTGTGATGAGGTGGGTGATTACATCACAGAGACCCATAGAGACCCACAGAGACCCATACAGACTCACAGAGACCCACAGAGACCCATAGAGATCCATACAGACCCACAGAGACCCACAGAGACCCATAGAGATCCATACAGACCCACAGAGACCCACAGAGACCCATAGAGATCCATACAGACCCATAGAGACCCACAGAAACCCATGGAGACCCATTCAGACCCACAGAGACCCATAGAGACCCATACAGACCCACAGAGACCCATTCAGACCCACACACAAAACCCATAGAGACCCACAGAGACCCATAGAGACCCACAGAAACCCATAGAGACCCACAGAGACCCACAGAGACCCATACAGACCCACAGAGACCCATGGAAGCTTACAGAGCCCCATAGAGACCCATAGAGACCCACAGAGACCCACAGAGACCCATAGACACCCACAGAGACCCATAGAGACCCACAGAAACCCATAGAGACCCACAGAAACACATAGAGACCCACAGAGACCCATAGAGACCCATAGAGACCCACAGAAACCCACAGAGACCCATAGAGACCCACAGAGACCCACAGAGACCCATACAGACCCACAGAAACCCATAGAGACCCATAGAGACCCACAGAGACCCATGGCAACTTACAGAGCCCCATAGAGTCACACCCACCTCATCACATAGAGCCCTGTATATATTAAAACTCACCCAACCACTCACCCAGCCACTCACCCACCTACTTACTCATTCACTCACTGACCCAGCAACTCAGCCACTCACCCATTAATTCACTCACCCACTCACTCACCCACCCATTCACTCACCCACCCATTCACTCACCCACCCATCCACTCACCCACCAATTCACTCACCCACCAATTCACTCACCCTCCCAGCCAGTCCCTCAAACACCCACCCATCAACTCACCCACCCAATTACTCACTCACCCATTCACTCTCCCACCCAGCCACTTACCAACCCATTCACTCACTCACCCACCCATTAACTCACACATTCACTCAGCCACTCACTCACCCATTCACTCAGCCACTGAATGACTCACTCACCCATTTACTCACCCACCCACTCAGCCACTCACGAGCCCATTCACTCACTCATCCACCCATTCACTCACTCATCCACCCATTCACTCACTCAGTCACTCAGCCACTCACTCACCAACCCATCCACTCACCCATTCACTCAGCCACTGAATGACTCACTCACCCATTTACTCACCCACCCACTCAGCCACTCACCAGCCCATTCACTCACTCATCCACCCATTCACTCACTCATACACCCATTCACTCACTCAGTCACTCAGCCACTCACTCACCAACCCATCCACTCACCAACCCATTTACTCACCCACCCACTCACCAGCCCATTCATTCACTCATCCATGCACTCACCCACCCAACTCACCCACTCAATCACTCATTCTCTCACGCACCCATTCACTCACCCACTCAGCCATTGACCGACCCATTCATTCACCCACCCACCCATTCACTCACTCACCTATTCACTCACTCACCCAGCCATTGACCGACCCATTCACTCACCCACCCATTCACTTACTCACCCACTCACCAATTCACTCACCCAGCCACTCACTCACTCACCCACCCACTCACCCACCCACTCACCCATTCACCCACCCACTCACCACCCCATACACCCACCCACTCACTCACCCATTCACCCACCTACCCAGCCACTCACTCACCCACCCACCCACTTACCCACCCACCCACTCACTCACCCATTCATCCACCCACCCACTCAATCACCCACCCACTCACCTATTCACTCACTCACCCACCCATCCACTCACACAACCACTCAATCACTCACTCACCCACCCATTAACTCACTCAGCCACTCACCCACCCTCCATCCACTCACCCACCCATCCACTCACCCACCAATTCACTCACCCTCCCAGCCAGTCCCTCAAACACCCACCCATCAACTCACCCACCTAATTACTCACTCACCCATTCACTTTCCCACCCAGCCACTTACCAACCCATTCACTCACCCACGCATTCACTCACACATTCACTCAGCCACTCACTCACCCACTGAATGACTCACTCACCCATTTACTCACCCACCCACTCAGCCACTCACCAACCCATTCACTCACTCATCCACCCATTCACTCACTCATCCACCCATTCTCACTCACCCATTCACTCAGCCACTGAATGACTCACTCACCCATTTACTCACCCACCCACTCAGCCACTCACCAGCCCATTCACTCACTCATCCACCCATTCACTCACTCATCCACCCATTCACTCACTCAGTCACTCAGCCACTCACTCACCAACCCATCCACTCACTAACCCATTCACTCACTCACCCACCCATTCACTCAGCCACTGAATGACTCACTCACCCATTTACTCACCCACCCACTCAGCCACTCACCAGCCCATTCACTCACTCACCACCCATTCACTCACTCATCCACCCATTCACTCACTCAGTCACTCAGTCACTCATTCAACAACCCATCCACTCACCAACCCATTCACTCACCCACCCATTCACTCACACATTCACTCAGCCACTCACTCACCCATTCACTCAGCCACTGAATGACGCACTCACCCATTTACTCACCCACCCACTCAGCCACTCACCAGCCCATTCATTCACTCACCACCCATTCACTCACTCATCCGCCCATTCACTCAGTCACTCAGCCACTCACTCACCAACCCATCCACTCACTAACCCATTTACTCACCCACCCACTCACCAGCCCATTCATTCACTCATCCATGCACTCACCCACCCAACTCACCCACTCAATCATTCAATCTCTCACCCACCCATTCACTCACCCACTCAGCCATTGACCGACCCATTCATTCACCCACCCACCCATTCACTCACTCACCTATTCACTCACTCACCCAGCCATTGACCGACCCATTCACTCACCCACCCACCCATTCACTTACTCACCCACTCACCAATGCACTCACCCAGCCACTCACTCACTCACCCACCCACTCACCCATTCACCCACCCACTCACCACCCCATACACCCACCCACTCACTCACCCATTCACCCACCGACCCAGCCACTCACTCACCCACCCACCCACTTACCCACCCACCCACTCACTCACCCATTCATCCACCCACCCACTCAATCACCCACCCACTCACCTGTTCACTCACTCACCCACCCATCCACTCATACAACCACTCAATCACTCACTCACCCACCCATTAACTCACTCAGCCACTCACCCACCCTCCATCCACTCACCCACCCATCCACTCACCCATCAATTCACTCACCCTCCCAGCCAGTCCCTCAAACACCCACCCATCAACTCACCCACCCAATTACTCACTCACCCATTCACTTTCCCACCCAGCCACTTACCAACCCATTCACTCACTCACCCACGCATTCACTCACACATTCACTCAGCCACTCACTCACCCATTCACTCAGCCACTGAATTACTCACTCACCCATTTACTCACCCACCCACTCAGCCACTCACCAACCAATTCACTCACTCATCCACCCATTCACTCACTCATCCACCCATTCTCACTCACCCATTCACTCAGCCACTGAATGACTCACTCACCCATTTACTCACCCACCCACTCAGCCACTCACCAGCCCATTCACTCACTCATCCACCCATTCACTCACTCATCCACCTATTCACTCACTCAGTCACTCAGCCACTCACTCACCAACCCATCCACTCACCAACCCATTCACTCACTCACCCACCCATTCACTCAGCCACTGAATGACTCACTCACCCATTTACTCACCCACCCACTCAGCCACTCACCAGCCCATTCACTCACTCACCACCCATTCACTCACTCATCCACCCATTCACTCACTCAGTCACTCAGCCACTCACTCACCAACCCATCCACTCACCAACCCATTTACTCACCCACCCACTCACCAGCCCATTCATTCACTCATCCATGCACTCACCCACCCAACTCACCCACTCAATCACTCAATCTCTCACCCACCCATTCACTCACCCACTCAGCCATTGACCGACCCATTCATTCACCCACCCACCCATTCACTCACTCACCTATTCACTCACTCACCCAGCCATTGACCGACCCATTCACTCACCCACCCACCCATTCACTTACTCACCCACTCACCAATTCACTCACCCAGCCACTCACTCACTCACCCACCCACTCACCCACCCACTCACCACCCCATTCACCCACCCAATCACTCACCCA